AAAAAAAAAAAAAAAAAAAAAAAAAAAAAAGAACAAGGAAGATAAAGACTAGGTCTTTGAGGAGGGCATTTTCAGTGGTATGGTGAAGCAGATATCAGAAGTGCAGGGGACTGAGAAATGATGAAAGGTGAAGGTGAAGCAATGGAATGTTCAGATATAGACCACTTTTTCCATGAGGTTTGGTTGTAAAGGGGAGAAGGGAAAGAAGGTGGTAGCTGGAGGGAGAGGAGTTGTCTGGAGCTAAGGGACATCACTTTGATGGTTGCTCTTTCTTCAGTAAAGAAGGTTCCTGGGAGAGCAAGAGGGGGAGGGGGTGTTGAATGGTGGGAGATCTGGGGAGCATGCAGGATATTTGGAAGTTGATTTTGGGGGAGAGCTGGAGAGAGAGCTGCCTTGGCAAATAGGACTGCTGAAGGGTGTTGAGGACCTAGTTGAAGTTGACAATGTATGTAGCACTGATCTGTGTGGTTCTGAGATTTTGTCCAGTGGCACTCAGAGCTGAGAAGCAGAGAAGACAGAAGGTTGGATTCTTCCAGGATTGTAGTGCTGCCAGATGGGTTACTATCCTTCTAGTTGTGCTAGAAAGATAACTGTGCAAGAGATATAAGTATATTGGGAAGAATGTGATGGAGGTGATAAACCCTGAACTCTCAGCTGATGGGGAAGGAAGTGAAAACTCGAGGGAGCTCATAATAAAACAAAGTAGAGGCACAAATGAACTGGAAGTTTCTGCAGGCTAGAGAAACCATGGAAGGAATTCAGAGACTAGCTGGACAGATGAAAGATCAGGTGTCTGCATTTATAACTTCAGAGGTGGAGCTCTTCTGTGGTCCAGGGTGTTACCCTAGGAGTGGAGGGCTGAAGAGGACTGGAAGAGAAAGCCTCTGGAGTTGACTGTGAGTCTGGAGTCAAAGTGGCCAATGATTGGAGATGAGAGCTAGGACTTTAGGTACTACATCTCACCCCTGTTGTCCAATCTACCATGGTGCCTGAGCCACACCAGTTGCACCAGTCAGAGGGTGTAAGGTCCTATTCTAAAGCACTCGCACCACAAGTTTGGAGAGCCCAATTCCCCATATTTGTTTGTTTGTTTTGTTTTGTCTGTTTTCTGAGATGGAGTTTCGCTCTTGTAGGTCAGGCTGGAGTGCAATGGTGCGATCTCGGCTCACTGCAGCCGCCTCCCAGATTCAAGTGATTCTCCTGCCTCAGCATCCCAAGTAGCTGGGATCACAGACACCCGCCATCACTCCCGGCTAATTTTTGTAATTTTTCAATAGAGATGCAGTTTTGCCATGTTGGACACGCTTGTCCCTGACCTCGTGATCCACCTGCCTTGGCCTCCCAAAGTGCTGGGATTATAGGTGTGAGCCACCATACCTGGCCCCAGTTCCCCATATTTGAAGGGCACTTATGCTACAGGGTTTTCAATTGCCTTTACCAACCCCAAATCTCCTGGTTTTTCTTCTTCTTTGTGCCTGTTGTGACCTACCCTCATTATCAGAGACTCATTGTGGGAGGGGACTACACAAGGGTATAAATCCCAGGAGGTAGTGATCCCTGTAGGCTATCTTAGACTCTATCACAATTCTCTTCAGTTTTCATTTTGTAATTTTTCTCTGGCTATGTAAGCCCTGCTTTGATTTCCGCCCATATGATGATGATTTTCAAAAGTCCTGGCTAGGCGTGGTGGCTCACGCCTGTAATTCCAGCACTTAGGGAGGCCAAGGCAGGAGGATCACTTGAGGCCAGGAGTTCGAGACCAGCCTGGCCAATATGGTGAAACCCCCATCTCTACTAAAACTACAAAAATTAGCTGGGCGTGTTGGCAGATGCCTGTAATCCCAGCTACTTGGGAGGCTGAGGCAGAAGAATCACTTGAGCCTGGGAGGTGGAGGTTGCAGTGAGCCGAGATCGTGCCACTAAACTCCAACCTGGGCCACAGAGTGAGACTCAGCCTCAAAAAAAGTCTGTGTCCAGCCCAGACCTCTACATTGACCTGCAACCTGTATATACAACGGCTATGTTGACATCTGTATTAGTCAAGGTTCTCCAGAGAGGAAGAACCAATGTGACATCTATATATCTACAATATAGACCTATATCTATAAATATATATGGGAGGGGATTTATTAGGGAAATTGGCTCACATGGTTATGGAGGCTGAGAAGTCCCACAATAGGTCATCTACAAGCTGGAGAACCAGGGAGGCTGGTAGAGTGCTTCAGTTCAAAACTATCCTGTCTTGGACTTGGCCTCAGAACCAGGGAAGTTGAATGGTGTATCTCCCAGTCCAAGGCCCAAGCCGGGAGAACGTGGGGAACCACTGGTACAAGTCTTGGAGTCCAAAGGCTCAATAGTTGCTAAGTGAATAAATGGATGGACTCTACTACCTAATCTCCTGGAGTTAGGAGATTAGGGGAACCTGGAGTTCTGATGCCAAGAGCAGAAGAGGGGTGTCCCAACTCCAGAACAGAGAATTTGCCTTTCCTCTGCCTTTTTGTTCTATCTATTAGATGATGCCTGCCCATATTGGATGAGGACAGATCTTTCTTACTCAGTGCATTGATTCAAATGCCAATATCTCCTGGGAACACCCTCATAGACATACCCAGAAATAATGTTCCCCCAGGAATCTGAGTATCCTTTAACCTAGTCAGGTTGACATCTAAAACGAATCATTGCAAAATCCTAACCAAGTCTCAAAGGTGCCTCAAATTCAGCTTGTCTAAGATGGAGCTCAAGATCCATTTTATCTCCTCTTCCAGTGTTCTCCATATCTATGAATCCCTCCACCATCCATCCATTTATCCAAGGCAGAACAGTGGCCTCATCCTTGAAGCTACTTCATCGCCCCTTCACATCCAACTCATCACCAAGTCCTATTGATTTTGCTCCTGTATTTCTCTGCAGCCTGCTTAGATCTCTTTTTCTTCAGTCTCACACCAGTCCACATTCCAGCTCCATTCTCTCTTGCTCAGATGACTGCACTGGCTCCCAGGCAAGTCCCACCATAGCTTTATTGAGATTTCTCCATTTTGATCTGCACTTTAGCAGCCAAAGTGAGTTTTATAAAATGCAATTTTGATCAGTGTTCCATGGTCCTAAACTTTCCACTATGGCCCATAAGATCCTACATGGTCTGGCCCCTTCCTTCTATTCGCTCTAGTCGATCTCACTCTACTCCTTTACTCTCTAAACTCCGAGTTTCTTTTCTATTTTGGTAAAATGTATATAACCATTTTTAAGTGTGCAGATCTGTGGCATTTGGTACATTCACATTGTTGTGCGATCATCACTACTAACCATTTCCAGAACTGTTTCATCTTCTCCAGCTGAAATTCTGTATCTATTAAGCACTAACTTTCCATTACCCCCTGTCTGGGTTTCTTTTCATCCCTCAGAGGAGCTCTGCTGCCTTCCACAGAGTCCTTACATACATGCTGATCTCTCCATCTGAAACACTTCCTCTCCCCTTTGCCTAGTTAGCCTCCTGTGATTCCCAACACCAGCCTAGAAGCTTCTGTAAATTCTCTCAAAACCCCTGCTCCTCCCTGAAGAACAATTTGTATTTATACAGGTGTTTGATTGTTTGAAGGGTGCTCTCACCCTGCCCTCCTCTCTTAACATAGTTTTTCCTGTCAGGAATTCCTCGCTTTGTCCACAAGCCCTGGCACACAGCAGGTGCTCAATACTTGCTAAATGAATAAATGGACGGACTCTGCTACCTAATCTCCTTCCAGCCGGTCATCCACTTGTGGGTGCCTCCGCCCCCAGCTTGGGGTGTGTCCCCCTGGGTCGGACTTTGGCGCCCTATCCAGGCTGGCAGTAGGTTGTGCTCTTTGGTTTGCCTATCTCGGGCCTCCCGCCCAGCCGCGCGGACCGCAGAACACACGCCCCGGGCGTATCACACTGTCACGCGGAGCCTCCTCGCCTCCAGACGTCGGTCCGGTTGCTACCCCGGCAGGAATCGAGCTTATACCATGAAGGCTCCTTCTCATCTCCGGACGTGAGAATTACAGGCTTGGACCTCAAACTGCCGCGGTGAGAGCCGGGAGGTGGGAAGAAAGTTGGGAGGCGCGCGCCCCGGTCACGCTCCTTCTCAGTTTGGGTCGCAGCCCTTTAACAACCACTACATTCGCGCCTTCGCCGGGACGGGGGCTGTGGAGGCGCGCCGGGATTGGTCGGTTTGGGTGCGGGTGTCGCTTAGCAGCAGCGAATGGGGGCTCAAGGCTCGCGCACGCGCACCACCGCCTACCTGCGCCTGGGCCGCCGGTGACCTGGGCCGGGGCCGCCCGGTCGGCTAAGGTTGCTGAGGAGGCGGCGGGTAGCTGGCGGGCGCCGACTTCCGAAGGCCGCCGTCGGGGCGAGGTGAGGGCTGACGGGCAGAGGCGGGTGCCGCGGCCCGTTAGCCGAGAGCAGGCGGGTTAGGGTGTGGCGCAGGGCGGGCCCAGAGGTGGAGGCGGCCCAGGGCCAGCCCCGCCCTCAGGCCCGGCCTTGACCATGGGGCTCCCCACGGGGCTTCACTGGGCTTCTTGGAGTCCTCTGTCCCCTTTCTCCCGCCAGCCTCTCCCTGGACCCCGGGGCCACCCAAGACACGCGCCTGCGGGAACCCTGGGCTGACAGATGGGCGCCGAGGGCGTCTCCCAGTTGGAAGAGATGGGGAGTGAGAAAGGGACGACTGCTGCTTTAACCATTCACGAATCTCACGTCAGAGCATTGTTTAATCTGAATAGCAAACTTCCCTTAGCATGCCAGTGTTATAAGACTTTAAATATTGGATACACTGAACCAACTTTTCAGAGCACTGGGTGTAGGACGTTCCATTACAGGTTTTGTGTTCATTACAGATTTACACATGTACCTCCAGAGCCAGAAGGATAAAGCGCTTGGGGAAAAATTAGGTTTGTAGAAATCAAAGCCACGAAAGACTTGCCAGTGTGGAAAGTAATTGGTGAAATTTGTGACATGGTCAGAAAAGAATACAGCTGAGAACCAACATAGAGGATAATATTTAATTCCATTTTGCAGAGGAGAGTTGATCCTGCTAAAGATAATTTTAGTAAAATGAAAAATGGAAGCAACTGGAAATGGTTTAACGTTGCTAGATAGAATTAAATAAACAAATAGAGTTTCCTCTGGAAAGTACATTTTGGACAATGTTGTTAATAGCTCTGATTTAAGTGTTTGTACTTGCAACAGAAGCCATCTTGAAGTCTCAGTGTTTTTTCATTCTTAGAATAACTTAGAAATCAACTATATTGAAAAAGTAACATGGTCAGAGAGAGGACAACCTGACTTCAAGGTAATACAGTGGATAAAGAGCAGTTGTAACAAGTGCAATCTCAGGCTCCTTCGTCTACCAACAGGTCTCTGATTAGCTTATTAGTGCTCTAAGGAGAAGAAATTATTTCAGAGAAAGGGAGTAGCTGTAATCCCCAAGGTTGGATTTATAGAAGAAGGATGTGGTGGAAAGATCGTCAGCTTCAGAATATTTGAAGTAAGGAAGTGTGGGTTGAATCTGGCTCTACCTCTTGAGCCTTAGAGCTGCAGTTTTCCCACCTAGCCAGTGTAGATTATGTCTACCTTATAGTTACAAGCATTTAATAACATCAGTGTAAAAGGTCCTATCAAGTTTAGTTCCCTATCCTTCTCAGTTCCTAACAAATGACAAAACTGACCTCTACCCTCCTGTTCACTCCATCCCCAAGCAACTTGGAGCCTTAATAGAATCTACAAATTTGGTAACCAGTTCCCAAGTCCTGTGGCTGACGATGAATTCAGTAAGGGTGACACAACTCAGTTTTGTCTTCTGTATTGTGTATTTGAGTCTTCTGTATTCTGTATATACTTTATGGTGAACACTTTGTGTTTGAATATTTGTGTGCCACATGACCCCTGTTTTGTCTAAATTCCTATTTTGCAAGGTGCGGTCATCTCTCTCTTTCTCTCTTTCTTTCTGTTTCTCTCTCTCAGCCTCTCCCTCTCTCAGTGCATGTGATAGGGGCTTGAGGAGGGGTTAAGGGTAAAAGGTGGAAGAAAAAACAGAAACAAGGGTAGCCTGCAGCATAGGCACAGAGTCTTTGTTGATAGAACAGAGATAATCTATGGCATGAGCAGTTTACAAACAGATGCTGGGAAGAGGATTTAGGAAATAAAGGAGGCAAATTAAAATATATTTTTATAAAACTAGTAACACGGATGCTGTGTATGTGATTACCACTTCACTCTACTTTTAGACAAATGTCATCTGTATAAACCTTTCTCTTTTTCTCTCCAAGTACAGATTTATTGTGGAAAAGTGTTCAAACTGTAGATCAGAATTATGGCAAGGGATCTGTAAACCTGCATTTCTTGTTTCAGAGAGCAAAAATAAGGTAGCCCTTAGGTCATTCATTCATTTACTTAGCAGTGTTTACTGAGTGCTTCCTAATATGTCCCAGGCAAGGTGGTAGGTTATGACATCCACTGCCTTGTGGAAGGATCTGCTAAGTTCTGGAAGACATTCCAGTGTCTCTTTGTGTGAACATTCTGAAGCTTCCTTTGTCCTTGTGGAGTTGATTTTCTTTTCTTTTCTTTTTTTTTTTGAGACAGGGTCTCACTTTGTTGCCTAGGCTGGAGTGCAGTGATGTAGTCACAGCTCACACAGCCTTGACCTCCTGAGCTCAAGACTCTCACCTCAGACTCCCGAGTAGCTGGGACCACAGGTGTGTGCCACCATGCCTGGCTTTTTTTTTTTTTTTTTTTTTTTTTAATTTTTTGTAGAGATGGGGTATCATTGTGTTGCCCAGGCTGGTCTCAAATTCTTGGGCTCAAGCAGTCCTCCCACCTCGGCCTCCCAAAGTGCTGGGATGACAGGTATGAGCCACCATGCTCAGCCTGCTTTCCTAGTTGTTTTTTTTTTTTGAGATGGAGTCTCGTTGTGTCGCCCAGGCTGGAGTGCAGTGGCTCTACCTCGGCTCGCTGCAACTTCTGCCTCCCGGGTTCACACCATTCTCCTGCCTCAGCCTCCTGAGTTGCTGGGACTACAGGCGCTTGCTACCATGCCCGGCTAATTTTTTTGTACTTTTAGTAGAGATGGGGTTTCACCGTGTTAGCCAGGATGGTCTTGATCTCCTGAACTCGTGATCTGCCCGCCTCGGCCTCCCAAAGTGCTGGGATTACAGGCGTGAGCCACTGTGCCCGGCCCTAGTTTTTTTTTTTTTTTCTTTTTTTGAGATGGAGTTTCCTTCTTGTTGCCCAGGCTGGAGTGCAATGGCACGATCTCGGCTCACTGCAACCTCTGCCTCCTGGGTTCAAGCTGTTCTCCTGCCTCAGCCTCCAGAATAGCTGGAATTACAGGCATGCACCACCATACCTGGCTAATTTTGTATTTTTAGCAGAGACAGGGTTTCTCCATGTTGGTCAGGCTGGTCTCGAACTCCCAACCTCAGCTGATCTGCCTGCCTCTGCCTCCCAAAGTGTTGAGATTACAGGTGTGAGCCACCACACCCAGCCACTTTCCTGTTTTAAGTTGAATACTAGTTATCTTTGAGCAGCTTTATTTCAAAGAGTCCTGAGATTATAGTACCTTCCAGTTTGGAAATGTCATGTAGTTAAGGAGCTATTCACTATGAAGTGTGCCCTTCAATGTTCATGCATAAAACATCAAAATTATAGTTAATTAGCAGATAAGATTATTGTTCCATTGGTGGAGATATTTAAAAATGATATTTAAACAAAAAAGTATGAGCATAATTTAAGTAACCAGTATGTGAAGATCTTAAGTTAATACTTTTTTCCCAGCTTTTATTTTAAGGTAATTATAGTTGCAGTAATTTGCAAAGGTAGTACAGAGAAGTCTCATGTGTGCTTCACCTAGTTTTCCCCATTGATTACATATTATATAATTCTAGTACAATACCAACTCCAGGAAATTGATGTTGGTATAAAGTGTGTGTGTCTGTGTGTGTGTGTGTATGTGTGTGTGTGTAGTACTGTCACTTTATCATGTGTAGATTCCTGTAATCATGTTGGCAATCAAGATACAGAACTATTCCATCCCCACAAAGATCTGCCTTTGGCTATTCATTCATAGTCACACCTGTTTCCCGCTTCTCTACCATCCCTAACCTCTGACAACTGTTTATCAGCCCTCCGTTTCTCTTAAGTTTGTCTTTTCAAGAATGTTACATGAAAGGATGCATATAGTATATAACCTTTTGATACTGGCTTTTTACAGCCAAGCATAATGCACTTGAGATCCATTCATGTTGTTCTGTGTACCAGTACAGTAGTTTATTCCTCTTCTTTGCTGAGTAGTATTCCATGGAATGAATATCCTGTGGTTTGTTTAACCATTCATTATTTGTAGGACATGTTAGTTGTTTCCAGGTTTGGTTGTAAATAAAGCTGCAATGAGCAATTGTACAGAGGTTTTTGTGTAGACATGAGTTTTTATTTCTCTGGGGTAAATACCAGGAGTGTGATTGGTAGATTGTACAGTAATTCCATGTTTAGTTTTAAAATAAACTGCCAAACTGTTTTTTTGTTTTTTTTTTTTTGAGACAAAGTCTCATTCTTTCGCCCAGGCTGGAGTACAATGGTGCAGTCTCGGCTCACTGCAACCTCTGCCTCCCAGGTTCAAGCAATTCTCCTGCCTCAGACTCCCAAGTAGCTGGGATTACAGGTGCCCACCACCACGCCTAGCTAATTTTTGTGTTTTTGGTGGAGACGGGGGTATCACCATATTGGCCAGGCTGGTCTCGAACCCTTGACCTCAGGTGATCCACCCACCTCAGCCTGCCAAAGTGCTGGGATTACAGGCGTGAGCCACTGTACCTGGCCCAAACTTTTCTAGAGTATACCATTTTACAGGCCAGTAATGCATGAGAGATCCAGTTTCTCTCCATGCTTGCCAGTATTTGATACTGTCACTATTTATCATTTTAGCTGTTCTGATGGGTAGGTAGTATTATCTCATTGGGCTCTCAAGTTGCATTTTCATAATAGCTCAGTATCTTTTCATGCTCTAATTTGCCATCCATATATCCTCTTTGGTGAAA